TTTTTCAGCCTCCCTTTTAATCCAGAACCCCTTTCGTATAATCCTTGGAGTTTTACCTCTTCTTTTCACTTTATCTCTGTATTTCATCCCATATTCCTTTGCTTGTACATTTCATATATTGTAATAACTTTACTATGCTGCTAAAAATGTATTTCAAATCTTAAGTCCACATCATTACAATTCTCCCTGTTGCCACGCTTCCTTCTTTCCGTCCTTCCTCCATCATTCATCTCCCTCTTATTCATCTCCGACTGCAGTATACAAAGTCACTTTCCGCTTCCATCCCTCTCACTCCATCACTGTGATCACATCTTCCTCTCCTCACTGACCTCTCCCCCATTTCCCTCAGTGGTACTTGCCTTTTTTCCACATCTGTCCATCTCTAATAAGACAGCAGGAGGATAACCAAGACTGTTTTATCCATCACACACACACACACACACACACACACACACACACACACACACACACACACACACACACACACACACACACACACACACACACACACACACACACACACATACTTTTACTGCCTCTCTCTCACACACATTCTGCGCTTACACACCCATAAGGCACACACACTGCCCACAGCGGTCTGATAAGTCAGATGATGGCTTTGACAGAAGTGCTGCCTTAGCTCTTCAGCTCCCCCTGAGGCACCCCACACACACACTCTTACACAAACCACTCAAGGTGGGACTGCCCGCGTATTAAACACTCAAGGTGTGTGGGTTAGTTTCCCACACACGACCTTGCCATTCACCAAGGTTTTCTCTGTATCTGTTGAAGTCATCCACTTTCTGGTTGACTGAGCAGCTCTTTTATAAACAGACAGGGCCGTGACATAAGGCAAGGCTCTACATCACATCATACTGCTGTGTAAAATGTGTGTGTGTGTGTGTGTGTGTGTGTGTGTGTGTGTGTGTGTGTGTGTGTGTGTGTGTGTGTGTGTGTGTGCGTGCGTGCGTGCGTGCGTGCGTGCGTGCGTGCGTGCGTGTGTGTGTGTGTGTGTAATTGACATAGCAGCATCCCTGTCTCCGTTGTCAGACAGTTACATGACATTAAGTCTTGTTCTACAGCAACATTAGCGCGGCCTCCTGTCTGGAAGCTGTCTCCGTATGAAAATCAAAATCCCAAACCTTGCCATTGAAAGCCCTTTTAGGGTTTTTGAAAGAGAGACAATCAGAACTGAACGGAATTCTTAAGTTATTCTTTTGATCTCGGATATATAGGGCAAGACTGCAATTCTTTACTCTGTGGAGATTTTCATCGAAAGAAACACTTCACACTGCTTGGAGCTCAAGTGGTTTAGTTATTGACAAGGGAAGGAAATAGGACTTAGAGTTTAAGAGAGAATGAAAATCAATATTATAAAAGGAGTTTTTAACTACTGATTATCTGACTTTAAGTTGTTTTAAAGTGGCACTATTTTGCCTTTTGGGGGTCTGTCTTCCCTGTAGTGTGTAATCTAGGTTTTTGTGCAGGTAAATGGTCTGAAAGGGCAACAACAATCACAAATGTCACCCCCCCCCTCAACCCCTGCCTGAAAGGCCTCATTTGTTGTCCTTGGTTTCATTCCGTAACATAATGACATCACTATATAACACTCGTACTTCTATTGGCTAGCACTCCAACACATTGTACGTGATAGGCTAGTGGCAGGACATCTCCAAATGGTTGACCAATCACAACAGAACCGGCCAGCTAACCAATCAGAGCAGACTGGGCTCTGGTTTCAGACAGAGGGTAGAAAGAGGTGCTGCATCACAGGCAGTCNACTTTCTCCATCTTTATATGTAGAAGATATTAAGTTTTCTCCGTCATGTTGATATAATATATTATTTTGAAGGCGAGGAAGTTGTTGTTGCTATGGAAACAACATGACGGAGAAAACTTAATATCTTCTACATATAAAGATGGAGAAAGTAAAGAACAAAGTCGGAAAATATCAGTACAGTATCTTAATACTTTAACACAATTGTTTGTGTTACTTTCGTTCCAGTTGTATGTCTTAAATGTAATGTAAATGTTGCCTTTGTGTGTGGTTCGGGGCCATCTTCGTGCGAAATTCACAATTCCATATTCGTGTGTCCATCGGGTTTCAATTTCGGGACAGTGTGACAGGGGCTTAAATGAGCTATTGTGCTAATTTTCAAGTTCCTATTTGGATTCTTTGCCTCTACCGTGACATTTTTACAAGGTCAAATGTTAAGAAAGGTCTTTATTTTTCTCATACTGCCTGTGCTGCAGCACCTCTTTTCACCCTCTGTCTGAAACCAGAGCCCAGTCTGCTCTGATTGGTTAGCTGGCCGGCTCGGTTGTGATTCACTTAGAGATGTCCCATCCCCTAGCTTATCAAAGTTAATGTGTTGGAGCATTAGCCAATAGGGCATGAATGTTACGTAATGGCGTCATTATGTTACAGAAGTTGACAAAGGTATCCAATTTCAGACATTGGGAGGGAACTTTTGGATGTTAGCCTTTGCAGACCATTTACATGCAGAAAAACCTATATAACACGCTACAGGGAAGGGAACGACAAGCATGGTACGGCCCCTTTAAGGGTGCATTGTTTCGGTAAAAATAATGAATCAAGGTTGAATCATTTGAATGCTTCTGGTTTATATACATGGAAAGTATTAGATGGATAAATGAAAACAACCTCATAGGATTTCTTCTCGTAGAAAGGAGATAAAAAGGGCCTGCATGACTTTATATCTTACTGCAGCCGTGTGTGTGTATGTGTTTGAATTTATAGAAGAGGGCCACTGGAGTTAAATGTGTGCTTCTTCGTGTGCTGGTGACTTATGTGTAAACAGCTGTGCTCAGTGGACTGAAGCTGATGCACTCTGTTGAATATTTTATCTCCCGTTACAACCCAACACACACACACACAAAATACCAAACAAGTGAGAAGAGAAACAAAGTCTACTTTGTCTTTCAGATGTGTTTTTCACTTTTCTATTGTTTTTATATATAGCCCTTAAATGGCTCTGGCTGCACGACTTATGAGATCATGTATCTTTTAGGGTTATTATCCTAACTTCAGACAATTAAAAACCAGACAAAGTGAAATCCAACTAAATCTATTTGCTCTGAGCCACAAAGATGTAGAATGATCTTAGTGTGTGACTGTGTGTGGTATTTAGGGATGGCAGCAGAAGCAGTTGCTGTGCTGTAAAGTGGGAATGAACTGTTATTGTGCACAGATTACATCCAGAAGGCAAACATCTGGCACGCAGACATAGAGAGCCAGACGAGCAGACAATCACAGAACCTGCAATAGCCAAGAGGTTGATCCGTACTGCGATCCTGGAGATGATGGCTGCAGATAGCACGAGTGAGATGTCGTTAGGTGCGATGAAAAGCAATGTGTACGGGAAGGATAAACCATGGTCGGTGCAATTACATGATTTGTCAGAATGATTGGACATACGTATAGCGCACATTCATCTCCGTTACAAAGAAAACATTTGCTTCCATACATAAATTGTAAAAACTCTAAATCAGTTTGGTAAAAAAGCAAAGATTATTCTTATGTTAAGTTATCACTGCTGCTTTGTTGCGTCTGAGGGTTGCTGTACCAGCACATGCATATTTTACATGAAACAAAAACTGTGGTTTAATCAGGATAAAAACATCTAAACAAGCCACCTCTGAATAAAGGGGCCTATTATTCGCTTTTTGGGGTTTTCCCATTCCTGTAGTGTGTTATATAGGACACTTATTGTCCACTGGGAACAGGTACGTGTCATTTCCTGTTCTCTTCTTCACCTTTCTCATATCACAGTCTGACTAAAGCAGTAAGATCGGATGGCACATAAAGAAAAAAGAGAGGGGAGGGAAGAGATGAGAAGAGGGAGGGGGGGGAAGCAAAGGAATGAAATAAAAGGAAAGACAAGGGAAGGAAAAATAATTAGGAAAAGAAAGGAAAGTAAAGAAAATTAAAGGAAATGAAGGGAAGGAAATGAAAGGAAAGGAAAGGAAAGGAAAGGAGAGGAGAGAAGGTTAGCCATAACAGTAGCAATTTAAATGTCCCATTTTCAACTAAGCAAAGAGGCTGGTAAATAAACATTTAAATTCAGTTACTTTTTTAGGCTTTTCAATATTGAGACTTTATCTGAACTGATTGTTTCATATTAAGAAAAATTTATTGCTGCCAATGTTATTGCTCACGTTTAATAATGTGGGGAGATTTTTACAATGGTCTGCTTCATAATACAAGTTATTATGCAGCTGAGAATAATTTGCTTGCCGCGGCTAACAAGCTCCCCACAACAGTTACATATTGTTATAAATGGAGCTCACACAGCTCAATAAAGAAACATACAGACTAATGGTCTGCAGCCGCCGCTCTTTATAAACAACCTTTTACACAAATCATTTAGGAGATCACGGATTGATCACAAATACCAACATTCACTAGACCATGTCCTGTCTACACCTAATCCTTCACAACACACAGGCTACATGGTATTAACACAATATAGTGCAACTACACAGCTGGCCACCATTAGTGAAAGTCCCCTGACCTAGACATGTTAATCCCTGTCCAGACATGCTCCAATACTTCCTATAGAGCAAGATGATTAACTTTAACCTCTGTGCACGCACACATGCATTATAACTGTATACATACACCGTACAGTAGGTATAGTTTACTATACTCTATACACAAACAGATACACAAAGCCAAACACAATACCAGATTAGAACACAAAAAGAAAGCAAACACGCACATTCTAAATCCTCATAAGCACGCATCACATTTACGTCGCTAAGGTTTGTTTGTGATTATGGATTATGTAATATATGCAGACATATTATTATTCTAACAATAATGTGTATTATTTAGATAGATAATAGATAATATGTATTTAGTAGACTACATGTTAAATTCTAAATTCCAGCATGTTATTTACGAGGACCAGGAAAGTTCAACCAATATTTGTTAATATGAGCTACTCTCTCAAAGCAAGAAACCGGAGGAATAAGTATCACAATGTTGATGTCATCGATGACAAAGACTGGAGCTGCTCTAGAGACAACAAAGAAGAGAATTTGTGGACACAGAGGATGTGTGTGTTCTTGTTTCGTATCCATACAGTATGAGCTTTTTTCTATTGTATTGTTATGAAACAGAAAACATTCCCATATACTTAGAATATTCCCCCTTGTTCTCTCAGTGTCTTCTATAATATCTTTATTTCTCAGTTGATTGTTTATGGAGCCATACCCTACGGGAGAGAATAAGGGCCACGTGCAATTTCTTTTGGCATTAGATCAAAAGCTAATTATTTTTTTGGTTCTGAGATTTTAGTCAGAATTCTTAGAAAAGGTCAGATGTTATGTATGTATTTGTTTGCTTTTGCTTGTGCATCCACAAGTGTTCATTCCTGAAAGCTTGTAGTTGTGAGTTCATCTGTGTATGTGATAGGGTTGCCAGAAACTGACCATGATCAAAATCGATTATTCGGCAGCCCTGGCGAATAATAATCGATCATTCGACCGACCCCCCCCACCCCACGCAGGAGAGAAAGAAAAAAAAACTCAGACAAAAGGAATTCTGTTGTTTTCTTTACTGGAACATGTTTAACAGTACAAACAAAATAAACTACAAATAAACCAAGATCAACATGATGCAGCTCCTTGAACTCTTTTTACCTGCCGCTTTGTTCATCTTTAGTCGCACGTGTGAGGGAGAGGGGGGGTGGGGGCGGGGTCGGTGTGTAGCGTGCTGCAGCAGCAGTCTGCTCTGCACGCAGGCTTCCTCCAAGTTTACAGTAAAACAAACCGGTGGTGTGACCAATGGCCATTTACAATTATTAATACTATTACTACTATTAGCATTAGTCTATATTTTGGTTGAAACTAAGCCAGAAAAAAAAAAACATAAATAATAATAAAAAAATATATAAATAAAGTCGATTTTTAAAAATAATATTCGATTATGGAGACTGTAACGAATATTCGAATAATCGAATAATCACTGGCATCCCTAGTATGTGACAGTGTGTGTGTGTTGCATGTGAACGTTTCTCTCTGGGTGTGTTATATTTGATGGTGTGTGAGCTGTGCTGCGTTATGTTTTGTATGCTTTGTTTTGTTTATTTGACTGTACAGCACTTTGGTCTGGAGGTTTAAAGTGCTCTATAAATAAAGCTGTATTGTATTGTATAGCCTTTTGTTATCTTGCATGTTCTTACCTGGCAGTTCACATCCGAGGACCTCCATCCTCATGCCGATCCCAGCAGGCGACCACCTCTCCGGAAACACTCTGATGAACTGGGTCACTATCTCATCGAATCTGCGCACCTCTGGAGTATCATAGTGGCCGTTCCCCTCGAAAATCTAGAAAAAAGGCAACGCAAAGGCACGTTATACCGACGTTAATAGAGAGATCTCTACTATTTTCACATCACAAGTGAGATAAAACATTTCCTATCTAGTATAAAGGATATTTTCATGCCGGCTTTGTGGCTTACTGTGGCTCAGCACAGTAAGATCCCTGCTGTGACTGAAAGGAAAATGTGTAACAGTATCACACTCTGTTTGTCCTAGAGTTTGTCTTAATGCCAAAGCTGTTTGAGACGTTTCTAAGATACAATATAATGAATGATGAGCTTTCGTTTGTTTGATAGATATTGCATCTGTCAGAGTGGGACCATTGTTTTGAGCTGAAGAAAGCATGAGCATCCTGAAACAATAGAGGAAAAGGTCAACGCTGCAGAGGTAGTTAAATGTGTCATTTCGCCATTCTGCCGTTCATGTTTCCTTGACAAACAATAGCAGAATCGTGAGCCTGTCTCTCAACAATCATACAACAATCCAAATCGGCATTGTTTCCAAGCACGGTGTGACATGTGTCATAGAAATAACAACAGAGACTCTGTTTCCTTTGATTTTCAAGTAATTTCTTTCAGGCGGCTCTCAGCAGCCTCTGGCAAAAAGCACAATATTTATTTCAAGCTGAAAACTGACAAGACTGGCTCCAATATTTTCAAAATATGGGATCTGTGAAAGTTGCAATATTGGTTTCATTAATTTAATTATATTTCCCCGTTTCTAGAATGTAATGAAAATGGTATGATGAGTTTCCCAGGATGCTCATTTAAATGGACAGGCAGATGAGAGAGAACAGGATTTTAGCATCAGGAGAAAAGCTCTAGTAGTTTCAGGACGGAGTCTCAGAAAGGAGAGTGCCCTGTCTCGCGTCACACTGCCAGGAGTGTTGAGTGGTGATGCAGGAAAGACGTTTTTAATTAACACCCATGAGAGACAAATAGAGGAAGAGACTCAGAGAAAGAGCAGAGAGGCAGAAGCAGGGAGAAAGAGGAGTGAGGTGATTCAAGTGAACTATTATCAGAGCTGAGGCTGTAATCAAATGTATTTTTCTTTTTTAAATGACATGGCTAAAGCCCCTGTCACACTGTCCCGAAATTGAAACCTGATGGACACACGAATATGGAATTGTGAATTTCGCACGAAGATGGCCCCGAACCACACACAAAGGCAACATTTACATTACATTTAAGACATACAACTGCAACGAAAGTAACAAAACGATTATGTTAAAGTATTATGATACTGTACTGATATTTTCCGACTTTGTTCTTTACTTTCTCCGTCTTTATATGAAGAAGATATTAAGTTTTCTCCGTAATGTTGTTTCCATAGCAACAACAACTTCCTGTCAACTCGCCTTCAAAATAATATATTATATTCTTTTCAGTTTCACAGAACACAAATTGTGTTATTTACATAATATGTTTACATGATTTTGCAATAAAACAACCCGATGGACACACGATAAAGGAAATTTTCAAATTCGGCTCTGATCGTAACAACATCGGGACATTCGCGAGGGCATCTTAAGCCATCGTATGACCGCCGGTGGNCAAAAACAATTATGTTAAAGTACTATGATACTGTACTAATATTTTCAGACTTTGTTCTTTACTTTATCCGTCTTTATATGTAGAAGATATTAAGTTTTCTCCGTAATGTTGTTTCCATAGCAACAACAACTTATTGTCAACTCACCTTCAAAATAATATATTATATTCTTTTCAGTTTCACAGAACACAAATTGTGTTATTTACATAATATGTTTACATGATTTTGTTGTGCAATAAAACAACCAGGTCGACACACGATAAAGCCATCGTATGACCGCCGGTGGAGTTTCTCAGGCTCCGGCAGCAACTTCGTGAGAGGTGGCAAAATCTTTGGCATGCCAAAAAATTGCCAAAGGACCTTGCGAAGGTTCATTTTCGTGTTGAATTCGTGTGTCAATTTTGCCCTTCGTAAGGCCATCGTGAGAGCATCTTGTTATCATCGGTGCCATCAGGCATTCGCCCCGATCAGAGTGAGGGCGAATGCCCGATGGCACCGATGATAACAAGATGCCCTCACGATTTGACAAGATGCCCTCACGAGTGCCTTACAAAGTTGCTGCCGGAGCCTGAGAAACTCCACCGGCGGTCATACGATGGCTTAAGATGCCCTCACGAATGGCCCGATGTTGTTACAATCAGAGCCGAATTTGAACATTTCCTTTATCGTGTGTCCATCGGGTGTCTTTTTTATGGAACAGTGTGACAGGGGCTTGAGAGAGAGAAAGACAGGGAGAGATAAGAGGGACTGAGTTGAAACAGAGTTATATATAACCTACAAATGAGGGAGAGCTGGCAGCAACAACAGGAGAGAGGAGAGTACATGTGCACTTGTCAGAAAACACAGTTCCTCTTCTTTACCTTAGCAAACCCAGTCTTGCTGTCAATCATGTACGTCCAGTCTTTGCCGTTCAAGCTGTGGGCCAGTTTGTACTTCCTGACAAACGCTCTGTTCTCAGCACCGGTGCTGCCCTCCAGCCCTCTTGCACCCTGGGTAATGATGCCACGCACCGTCTTGGGGACAGCAAGGTCCACCTGCAACACAGAGAAACATCATCATCACAGATGCCCACCACTTTTCAGACTGTCTGCCTACTGTGGCAACTCTACCTTCCACTGAAGCCAACACAAGGCTGGTTTTTCATTATAGAATTTGTCACAAGTTGCCATGTTTAAAAACAATGCTCTTTTGGGCATTTTTATGGTATTTCATGAACTGGCTACATTCAGAATAACAAGCTAGTGGGTGTCTCTGAATGGTGTCCAATGTAGGATTCATGTTTGTTGGGCATTTTATTTGTCACTCAGGATAATGGTAAAAACGACTGGCCTACTTTCATAAAAATGGGGGTAAAGTTGTGGAATGGGCCAAGGGAGAACCTATAACAATTTGGAGCTTATATGAAACGCCAATATGTTTCATATGTGTTCTCCAAGTGCCCTTCCAGTTGACATATGGTTTATTCTCAGTAATCCTACACGTTGAAATGTAATCTTGTACACCTTTTGTTTCTTACAACTGATTCCAGCACCCACCCGTAATCCTAAATGTGCTTTGAAATAATAGTTTGTCCAGCATTTGTCACCAGTCGTTGCCATTGCAGATGCTTTAGCTAATGATGGTCATTTTGGTTTGTTAGATGCTCCCAGTTTTGATGGTATGACACATTTCTGACACAATTACGCTACAGCAATTACAACCCAATGAATATGAAGAATAATGGAAATAAAGCAGCCAGTACTGTAGAACATATCCTTGGCTGTAAAACCAGCATCCCTCTTTAGGACAAAGTGACCTACCTGTATCCATTCTTCTCCAGCTATGGGTTGTGTTGGGTTGGGGAACCAGCCTGTGCGACTGGCCACCAGCCTGGCGGCCCCCATGGAGCCGTGGATGTCTCTCATGGACGACGCAGAGATCTGGGAGTCGGGGAGCAGTCCAGACAACATGCCTTGCAGCTCTGAGCAGGGTGCATCTGAACAGAGAGAGAAGGGAATAATAATATGTTACGTCATTGCTGTATACAGCCTTTTTTCAAATAATGTAATCAATAGTAGAAAAGAAAATGTGAAAATCCATACAGCATTAAACATTTCACAGTCAGCTGCCAAAAAGATACCCCTATTTTTGTCTGATGTGAAAATTATACTGTTTCTTGCATTAAACGGTTAACTTTTGAGCTTTGTAGACAACTGAAATTGGCTCAGCATGAAATTGCGTTAACTGTGATGAAATGCAATTGACAAAATAGTTAACCAAACGTTTACTGTGACTGATTTTACATCTCGACTCTGTGAAATGAAAATGTAAAATTAAATTCAACGCTGCCAGGAAGGTCGACATTCAATCTGAAACATTTATATGGAAAAGGTTAGTATTGATGGAAGTTAATGGACAAATACTGTACATGCTATTATTATCATCATCTTTTGGATTTTAAATTCAGTCTGGCTACACTTGATGAATGAATGTGACTTTAAGGTCAGGAATAAGTTAGTATCACTGTTTGATCTCATCTAGAAGCAATCCTTTTGTGTGATTTGCTGCTGGATTGGTCACATTCTGCACTTTGCTGCTTTCCATCATTTAATTATTTCTACCTCCTGCAGCTGCAAAGTTGATGCATAACTTTAACTGAGCTTCCAAAACGGGAGTGTTCCTGGGGAATTGAGTCAGAGAACTCCCAAATGGAGGAAGCAAATGAGAGCATGCTGAAGATCAAAGGGATACTGTTTATTATGCTGACAAATGTGTTTAAGTCTAACAAGCATCAGCATATTTTATTACAACAATAACAAAGGGAATGAAAGAAAATGACCGTTCTAATTTGAAAATGGTGGACTGAAGGTCAAGACGGTGCCGACAGGTGCCAATGCACCACAACATTTCTTAAGAAAGAAACGCACTGCAATTACAAACATGATGCAAATATAAATATTCAAATGTGCCAAAACAAATGCAAATGAAGAAACATCTTCATCAGCTTGACAACACGTGAGGCATTTAGAAAACATTCACCAACTTGACGGAACATGAGCAGCCTTTCCAAGAAGTAGTGTTTATTATTTGCAAGAAGCTCAAAACACATCAGACATGGGAACACCGCTGGGACCGGAGCGCTTGTTGACGTTTCGGGAAATATAAAGTTGGCCAACTGTCACTGGACACTTACCGAAAATGTCAGTTTTATTGGATATTTCAATAATGTGATTGCAAGATTTTATTCCTATTATCGCACACCTGCTTTAAGCTAGCTAGTTTACGTAGGTACCCTTTTCATTTCAAATGTACTGACAAAACAACTATAAACCCCAAACTCTGTTTTGTTTTTATCTTCTTGCAGCTCTTTTTCAATTTGCAGCATTTTCAATTTGCAGCATTTTCAATTTGCAGCATTTTGTAAAGCAGCGCTTGTTTCATCATGTTGGTGAATATTTTCTAAATGCTGTGCATGTGTTGCCAAGTTGGTAAAGATGTTTCTTCATTTGTTTTGGGCTGTTAGCACCTGTTGGCCACCGAAGGTTGAGGATAAAAGGTGAGAAAGAGGAGTTGAAGGACAAGGAGGAGATAAAGAGAAAGACAGAAAGGTCAAATAGAGAGATGGAAGTGAATGGAGAGGGTGAGGAAAGATAAAGGGAGATGCTAGTGAAAGAGAGGAGGGAGAGGCAGGTTGACAGTGAAGGTGACGGTGATTGATGGTGACATTCTTCAAGTCCACATGGAGATGAATGTTTAATGCCGTGACGTCTACGAACACGCCTCACTGTGGTAAATAATGAATCGACAATAAACAACAGCATCTAAGCCATGATGGAAGGCCTCAAGCCTGAGAAAACTGATGAGCCACAAGAAAATCCTGTTGTTGTGTTTATTCTATGTTTGTTATTTGTGTTGCCTAGGCATCTGCATTCCAGCAGGGTTTTTTTTAATACAGGAGTGCAGTGGGAGTTTTTAAGAATATCATCTCTGGAGATTGCAGAAATAGCTAGATATCACACACTTGAAAATAGCTCTTAAAAAACACTCTCACACACCGGCACATAGAAGTTGAATAGTCACACACTTTCCCTTGCATATGCTCTGATGTTTTAGCCCACACACACACACTGTGCTTTCATGATAACAGGGTCTCACAAAAGCTGAAAAGTCCACCAGTGAGCCTCTACCTAGCCGATACACATGCACAAGGCTACACACACACATTTATAAAGATTTAGAAACCTGCACACTACATAAGCCTGGTGAGAAAAAATGATAAAAGGTGCTAAAAATAAATGATTGATAGGTGCTGCGGGGGTAAAATAAAACGAGATTAAGGAAGGGGGAACGGTGAGTGGTGAGGTGGAGACAAGGGGTAGATTTAGGGGAAGGGATAGGGAGGAGAACATGAGAGACAGGGAGAGGAAAGAGGGAATGGAAGCTGTCAGCGAAAGGCAATAGAAGGACAGAGGGGGAGAGAAGAATGAGAGGGGAGAAAAAACATTAAAGAGGGATAGGTAGAAAGTGCAAAAAAAGAAGTAGAGAGAGACATAAAAGTGTGATTTAAGCTAATGACATGTCACTGACTGACTGCTTTATGTCTGCCATTATAGGCCTGTGTAAGGCATTATCACATCCCCCTGGCAGTGTGTTCTGGCACAAGCTTGTAAATATGTCTATTTGCAGGGGGAAGGCAGAGGAAGAGATACTGCATGGCCATTATCGGGTATGGCTGGTTATAAAGTTTCTCTGCAGATTATAGACATATCTTACTGAAAGTGTGGCATGATTTCCACTCTGCACACTTCTAAAGTGACTAGATGCTCTGTCTTCCCCTGCAACAAAAGCCAAAGTAGTCCGAAACTATCAAGATTTTGCATATAAAGTCGGTGTTTTTCCCTCAGACCGTTGATGGATTGAGACATTACAAGGCGGCAGAGATGGGCAATACAGAGGAAATCAGAAAAAGGGTTGAATGGGTTCTCACTGCTGGGAGTAGGGGGTACATGGTGCAGTTTCTGTTGTTAAAACAGGGTCAAAAATAGGCTCTTGGTACACAAAAACAGGCAAAGACACCTGATATATGCCATGTCACACACACACACACACACACACACACACACACACACACACACACACACACACACACACACACACACACACACACACATGCACACTCAAAAGCAGTATCATATTGTTTGGGTGTGATTGTGATTTGTGTGGGTGCTGAAATAGCCCTCCTAGATAAGAGCATATCTGTCCCTCTCAATGGCCCCTATGATGGCAGCAGAGAGAGGCACTAACCCAATAATGATACAGTGGAGCTGGGACACACACACAAATGGATTGAAACTGTCTCTCTTTCACCATTTCTGTTCCACACACACACACACACACACACACACACACACACACACACACACACACACACACACACACACACACACACACACACACACATACTATACTAGTATATGTATGCGTACTAA